TTTATTCTACCTAGGCCCTTTTGACACACACACACACACATTTATATATTTATTTTTAATACACATGTTCCTTCTCTGTTTTTAGTGTTGACATTATTAGAATGTTTTTGAAATAAAATGATGTTGAATCGGTGTGAATTTATGGATGAGGAAGAAGAGCTTATTGCTTGGTTGGTATTTAAGTTTTATAAGCCTTAAGCACATGGTCTTCATTTGCATCATCTGATCACCTCTACTGACATTGTCCTTTATCTGATCATATTTTTCTTACATTTTTCTTATTGCTTTCTGACAGTGTTATTCTCTGATCATTACTTGCTGATATTGTCACATGATCATCACTAAAGAAAAAGAGCTTTTTATCTTATTTCTAATCTGTCAAATTTTCATGTCATAAGTTTGAACTGTGGCTGACGATTTGCAGTCTGTGGGTTTTAAGTGTTACAATGGTCGCTTCTCCTCAATACATGTCTGACTAGTTGCAGTTAGTGGGAAAAATGTGATGTTTGCATTCACTGAACAAGTGAGGTTAGTCACTGATCAAATGTGGTTAGTTACTGGACAAATGAGGTTAGTCATTGGACATTGTGTGAACAACTAGTTGCAATCAAAAAAATTATTTAACATCAAAGTTTTGAGAGCTACAAGTTCATCTATGTAATTAAGGATGTGGATAAATAAAAGTTGAACTGCTGGGAACTAGCAGAATTGAGTTCTTTTGCCAAACGAATTGTGAAGATGGTAATTGTAGTTATTTCTCTATTATTTTATCACCTAGCTTAAGTTTTATCATAAATGTGCCATTTGACTTTACAAAATTGTGACAATATTTTGTGTGTGCATGACTGTATACATTGTTTTTACACTAGCACTAGACACTATATCTTATAAAATATTAGGATGAAAAAGACATCTCTTGAAATTTGAATTCAATATTTATTCAAATGAATCAAGGCACTAAGTTCATGCTCTAATATTGCTGAAGCATTGCAATCATTTTGTTTGAAAAAATATCTGTTGCTATAATTTAGAAATATACAGTACGTACTAAACACATATTGAACAAACTTATCAATAGTGGCCTACTTGATAAACAGCAGTCAAAATTAAACAAAAAAGTTTTAAGGTGAATACAATTCACTTGCTGACATGATAATGTAGTCCTCTAATCTAACATCACTTGTTTATAAATGTCATAGTAATGCCAAGATCCTGGCATAGTGCAGTCTTCAACTCTGGCTTACATATATTTATACTTTATTTGTTTGATCCAGTACTACAAACAATTACACCTTATTAAATAGGCTCCTAAAAAGCAGACAGTAAATTGATTTTTTTTAATACTGAAATGTCCTTTTGGCTGACACTAATTTATTAGAGACAAATTGATTTTGTTGAGACAGGTTTTAATACCAGTTCCAGTAGCACAGTCAAGCAGATGTAGTGGGAGTTGTTTTTTTCTTCAGTGTTGTTAGCCTAGTTTAGTAGTTATGTATACACATTATTTAACTAGATCTAGTAGCATGTATTAAAATTTCTATGTTATGAATGTATTTTTGTAAATGCTACTCTGTATCTTAAGGAGAGACTAAACACATACAGTTGAAGTTATCTGACAGAAAACATGGAATATTGACTCCATGTACAAATCCATGTCTATAAGGAGAGTCAATGAATGGCACATTTTGGTATCCTATGCTCAAGTATATTTTTTTTTCTTCTACTTTGTCTTGCAGGATGTTGTATATTTTACCTTCTCAAAGTAGTGATTGTAACATGTGTGTAATGTACTCAAGTGTAAACATATTTTCAATTTTACTTGCACATTCATGTTTCTATTTTGAAATGTCAACATTTTAACTCATATTTTTATCCATTTTATTTTTAGCTCTTTTTTCTTTTTGTTGTTGAAACTGGCCTGATATTCCTGCCATATATGTAAATGATGAGGGTCGTTTTAGTGACCTTATTTAATAGATCAATTAGCATATACTATTAAAATTTTAATTTTCAAAATAAATCATGGAGTTGCTTTTTTTTTTCTTTCATTGGCTTTGATAGGATGAATGTACCCTGGTCTGTAAAGCACTTGCAGTGTAGATTGTATACATATCTACCATTGGAGCAAATACTAGCTAATACTTTGGTATGCTAAAATAGTTAAAATGCTACATGTTGCAAAGCATCTCCCCAAGCCCTTATACACTCTGACTTTTTGGTTTCTCATGTCTGTATCTAGATGTAGCACTAGCCCATTTAACACTCCTTTCTTACTTGATAAGACACCTCTTCCAGCAGCTATTTCATATTTGAAATAAAAATAAAGGGAATATCAATTTGTTTTTATGTCTACAATAATGTGCGTTAAAGTAAATTATACCTGAATTGGAATTTCAGTTGTTTTTTAATTAGGAAATACTTTGAGTACTTTAAAATATATATAATTGGCCACTGTTAAACCTGTTGGGATAAAAAAAGAAAAGATGAATTTGGACAAAATTGACCACTGGTTGTTTCTAGTTGTTTCATTCTCTCTAGATGGAGAAATAGTCAGCTAGGGCTTTGACTTGTGTATATATATCTGCCTAAAATGTTTGTTTGAAACATGGTACAGAAAATAATAGGAGGTGTGTCACAGTTATCTATGTAACTGAATAGTAGAATTATTTCTCTAATTGATAGTGCGGCGTTGATCACTATATTGATGACGTCATTACACTATTAATATTTTACTTTGTAGACTAGGGGACTGAGCTTTTGTTGCTTGTCACAACTTCTAGTGACGTAAAGTTCGGTGTGTGTGGTTTGCGTCATTTATCGTCTAGTACAGTCTGTCCATTGTTTTGTACGTTGGTACAGATAGACGTGTCTTGAGAGCTCTTGAATTTCTCCTTGGTTATTGTTACTGGATAGCCTTAACATTTGCCTTGGACATTTTCTTGTTGGATTATCTTGACCCCTGTTTAGGGTGAGTTTTATTTTTCATTGTATTGTTTCTCTATTTGAATTCGTTCGTATTTGTAAGTCTATAATTAGATTAGATCTAGATGATTAGAAGAATCCTTTCTTTTATCTTCTATAGGGTTTTAACGACAAGTCTAAGTTTTGGTCGTAGTCTCAGTTCAAGACTCTATTTCAAGTTTTAGCGTCAAGTCTAAGTAGTGATCTTAGCTTGGTGTCAAGTATATGTGTTAGACTCAGTGTAAAGTCTTGGTGTCAAGACTTGTTTATCCAGTCTCAATTTTCTATATTGAGAGTACAACTTTAGGTCTACAGGACTGAGGTCTTCATCTCACTAATCTCAGTTGGTTGTCTGGTGTTCAAGTTGGTTTTTTCATGAGTCTGAGGTTCAAGATTCCAGACTGCGGGTTGCCTTGGTCAGACCTGATGTTATAGTATGAACTATAAACTTTTAGAATTGTCGTCAGGGAACAGTATCGGATCTAGAGGCTAGATCTATGTGGATTACCAGTTGTTGTGTTGGAAGTCTATTTGAACAACTTGTAATGAATATATTAAGGTAATGATATTGTTCAAATAATGATCATTTATATGTCGCAAAGAGAATAATGGATCATTTTAGATTACATATTATTACACATATATCTATTGATATTGATACTATTATTATCATTCATCATACATCAGTTCATTTGTAAATATATCACTGGAATAAATTTTTATTGTTATTTAACATCATACACTTAGTTTATTAATTTATATACATCTGTATGTGTATGGTGTGCTTGTCAAGCTGAACTTGGGCCAAAATATTACAAGTTCAGAAAATAATAACAATAACACACATTGACATAATATTAATTTTAAATAAATATTCACATTTGAAATATCTAATAATAGTTTGATAAGTACAAAAAAACAAGAACATGACAAGGTGTAATTAAAAAATATATTACAATGAGTTTGTGTTTTCACACAAACTCAGATTCTGACCCAAAGGCTTCATTCATGAGTCACCTCATAAGCAAAAAATAAAAGTCATGTAATTTGTAATAGATCTAGACTAACAATAAAAAAGCATTCATAAAAATTAAAAAAAAAAAAGAACCTGAATTCAAACTCATGGCTAAAGCTTTTCAAGCCAACACAGTAACTACTCTGCTAGCGGAGAGCTTATGAACATGGAAGATTGTTTAGTTATCTATTGTTTGTATAGTCTCAACCTATTTTTCAGGTTTGTGTTCACTAAGACTCAGAGGACAACGCATATAATTCAGCTTATACCACTTCAGTCAAAATAATTTATTACCAATAGTTAACTAATTGGTTAATTTTTTTTATTATTGATTCTTGTGTTGTCAGGTAAAAGAAATAATTCTGCAAAATTTCAGCTTGATCCCAGATTGGGTGTGGGAGAAATTACATTGTCAAATATTTTATCAGACAGACAGTGAGTTGATATAAGCATTGTAAAGTAAGAACATAACATGTAACTGAAAAAAAACAACTTGACTATGATTTCCTTTAGGCAGCAGCTTGCAGCACGCAGTGCTAAAACCTGGCAGAGCCTGCAACGCTGTTGATCCCACTCTGTATTAGCAATTGCCGATTCTTTGGACATATCAGCTGTGTGGAGAGGGGGGGGGGGGAACTGCTGTGTGAGCCACATCATTCCGAACTAAATTAATGCTCAGGCATTCATCTTATTTCTAGGAGATGATCCATAGATTGAAGGAGGCTATAGAATTCTATTATTACTATTTAATAGTAGATACTATACAAGTCTTTAAAGTGTTGTTTTGGAAAAAACAACAGCTTACTTAAAATACATTTTAAAACTAATGTTCTTGTTAAAAGTAGCACCTCAACTTAGCAAGCTACAAAATAACGTTACTGGATTTTCAAAAGCTTTTCTAGTTTTGGAGATGTTAAGGTGACCAACTGACATACAGACAACATAGACATGCTTTCCCCATTTTTGGGGGGCGGCTACAAATCAGCACAACAGTTGGCCTACACACAAATGAAAAGATGAACAACTTTATCAGGGAAACAAAAAAGTTTAATTTCAGATATATACACAGAACAATTTTGGTATAGAAACAATATCACATTGGTATATGCAAATATCAGATACAGCTTTTCATTCTTGTTTAAATGTCATCTACCTGTAAGTCAAGGTCATCAATAAGAAGTAGTTCACTTGGTTGAAAGTTTTGAACCAAAACCTTACATGTATGTAGCACGGTGTAACACAGCAAGCACTAATAAAAATAAACACACACAAATTTTAATAGAAATTTAAACAATCAGAAATATTTTATTTCAAATATTCCTGCAAGTAATAGCACACTCAAAACTTTCAAAGCATCTCAAACATTTCAAATAGAATCTCACTCCAACTTTTCAAGAAGCATCCCTCTCTACAATTACATGTACAAATCCATGTCTATAAGGAGAGCAACATTGTAGTGCATATATTTGTTTTAGTAACATTTCACTAGAGCTTTGAATATTACAGAGGCAAATGGCATAAACAAGAATATTATTAATTGCAACCCTATCAGTCGCTTTTGCTTCTTATATATATACAGCCATTCTGTTATGAACACTTTTGATCTCATTTCAATTTGTTAATAGATAATTATAGTACAAAAAAAAAACCTTTGTGAAAAATTTGCATGTATGTTGTAAAACGCCTAATAGTAACAGAAGTAGAAGTCTTGTTAGATATAAATAAACTAATTAGAAAAGGAAGTAATTAGTGACTTTGGATTACTTCATCATATAGAATAACTTAATTCTTAAAAATTAGAACATTAAAAAAAAATTCAATTACCAGTACCGGGTAGGTAAAATTGATTAAATGTAGTCATTATTCAAACAGGAAATGTAGCCTGATACTTTCTTCCCTACCAAATGTTTGTTATGACATACAGTTGTACCAGACATTAAACCAGTGAACATTTATTCATTATTCAAACTTTAATTTAAGTATGAAAACCTTTTCCTCCTGAAGTCTGTACTGGCTGATGTGCCATAAGTTGTTCAACACACCTTAAGTTACTATTTGTTTCTAGCATACAAAAAAAAGCCTCATGCATAAGAAATGAAACAAGAAACCTTTCATTTTAAATCATATCAGTTATGCAACTACTGGTGAAGACAGACCCAGATAGCAAATAAAATCAACCAGCTAGTGGGTTTGTTTGTATTAGTTATGACAAATTATGTAAATCACAGCACAATCTGCATATCCTCATAAAAATACTGCAATCTTTTTTAATCTTAGGACTCTAAGGCAATGTTCTATTATTAGTCACATATACAAATTTATAGGCAGTCAAGTGATGCTGTTCTTTAGCTGTCTTCTAAGTATTGAAGTGGACGTGTACACTATATACCTCTGTTTCACAAAAGATTGTTATAACTAAACCTTTTATCATGACACTTTATTCCCTAGCATGTGTGTTTCCTGCATACTACCATGTGATACCCTATGAATACAACCAAAAGTAGAGGGAAAACATTGTTGCTTTAGCACAGAGTCAGGACTTACAGTGTTGCAAAAAATGTTCACACAAAGGATCACTAAAATTATTTTAGACAAAAAAAATAATTTTTTTTTCAAAAATTAATGTTTTGTAAAAATTCCTTTCCAAAAGTAAAAAAATACTAAATCTAAATAGGAACAAATGCAAAGAAAAATCTGAATACACTATTTTAGGCTAAGGAGCTAAGGTCTTGAAAAGCAATCCATTCAATTCTTGACTGTGGAGCAAGCATTTTGTTTAGGGTATAAAGCAAATCTTTCCAGTGGAACTACACAATCTAGTTCTAAGCAATGGAGCACAGATCTTCAGAAACTACCCTCAAATCACCATCCAAGAGATTTTTAATAACAGCCTTGGCTATATATGCGGTGGTGCCATAACGGACATTGGGTGGTGTGTTGTAAAATCTGTGCATGTCGTCTTGCTTCTCCCTTCCTTCCATTCGATTCAAATCTTGTTGGAAGTCTTCATACGCTTCTTGAATAATCTAGAATAGAAATTTACAACTTATGAAATTTACAACTTTTTATAAGCTGTCAACACTAGAACTGTACTAGATTGCTGTATGACTATTAAAGAAAGATTTTCTTAACTCTTTGGCTCCGCAACAACGCACAGTACGTTGATTTTAAAAAAGGGGAAAAAAGTCGGACCAACGCTGGGGGGATCGGCTATTTAAAATTTATTTTTTTCAATTCTATTTCTCCAATTCATGTTTTTTATTGCTTAAATTTTTATCTAGAATAGTTTCCCTTTGCTAAACATCTGGAATTTCCTTCATTTAATGTGTTTTTATTTTGTACGAAGTTTGTAAAGAGATGACATTTATTTTTTCTGTGTGCATGTTTTTTTAACATGGAGCTTCAACCAAGGCCATTAAACTTTGTAGATCTAAATATTTCGTTGATAAAGAAGTATAATAATTCAGATGACAGTGATTCTGTTTCATCTGATGGTGGATTTATAAATCTAATTGTATAGTCTAAATCTACTAAATTAATTTATAGATCTAGAATCTAGACCTAGGGCTAGGTCTAGTAATGATGAAGTTTATCAGCTGATGAAGCAGCTCCACCCCCAGCTAATGTTCAATGTAGATCTAGAACTAGTTTTGCTGTCTCTACATCATCTAGATCTAAATCTAATCAGATAGAGGTAGATCTCTAGATCTATCATCTAGGCACTGAAACAGATCAATTTCAGATTTGTTCCATCAAGAAATTGGGTTGTCAACCTAGACTTAGTCAGCACTGCATCTATTGAGCAGGAATGCTGTTTTTTTTTCATTGACAATCACATTGTTGATAGTCTTGTCTGCAAAATAAATAGCTATGCTGACCATAGGATTAAATTGAACACCCCTACTAGAATAAGATCCATTTTCAGAGAATGGAGACCTATAACTAAAAAGAAAGACAGAGTATGTAAACACTGTAGGTCAGGGAGAAAGGTTTATGTTTGCGCTGGATGGTAGTCGAACCCACACTTCATATTGACTGCTTGCATAAATATCGCAACTAGAAGGAATATTTATGTACTAAGTACATGAAGAACTTAAGAAGAAAATATTATAAATATATATATGCTGTACAGTTGGACTAGTTTTAGGTTAAAAGTTTTTTGTTCCAAGAGTGTTGCTTTTTTTATGGGTGTTTTCATTAAAGTAGTGACATTGGATTATTAGTTTATTATTTTTGCATCTATTGCTGTTTCTTCTATGGTGTTCTGTAAACAAATGGATAAAAATGAGAAAAAAACTTCTTTGAATTCAATTTGAACAATAAATTTCTTGTAACATGCACTTGGATGGATATTTTCAATGTCAGTTGGTGAGTTTTTCATTTTTAATTTTTATATTCAAAACCCAAAGTTACAAAAACAACATGATTTACAAACTAGAAAACATAAGAAATGGAAAGAGCATCCATTTCTCTTTAATTCTATATAAAGTTATTATTTTCCAATAATAAATAAAAAAGTTATACAAGTTATATCGAAGCAAAGTAGCGCACTCTGAAATGGCGGAAAAATTAATTCCGTCCAAAAGTGGAAAATAATTCCGAAGTAATTCCCTAGCCAAAGAGTTAACTCTTTCAGTGCGAATTATTTTGATTGAAAAAATGAAGTTTTTTTGGATGACCACAAATTTTCAAGAGGGGTAGAGTTACTAAAACTAATGTAACTTTTTAATTTTTGTTTTATAATCTAATGTATGTGATTTTATTTTAAAGGAAAATGAATGGGCTACAATAGTATAATAAATAAAATAAATTATTTAAAAAAAATTTTTTTTAAAATTCAATTTGAGCTTACCACAAAAAGGCAAATATATTTTTAAAAATTCCTTAAAAAATTGATATAATTAAAGATTTAACCTTTTAATTAAACATTTATTCCATAAATATTGAAAAATCACAAAACTAAACACATTTTATCACTTCAAATTTCATAAAAGATAAAAAAAAAGCACTTTGAAATTGTATTAACTTTTTTTTCAGGTCCCGAGAAATAAACTAAAAAGAGAAACCACTAATACAATGTTGTCTTTTTTATATATAAAAAATTGTTTGTCCTGCAATTTACTACCAAAACAAAGAACATTCAATCTCATATTCCAGAAAATTAAAAAAAAGAGAGAAATAAAAAGTTCAACATAAAAAAGATAGTGAAATAAATTTTATATACTAAGTTACTCGCTGAGAGTAACGACACACTGACCAGCGCTAGAGAAGTTACTCGCTGAGAGTAATGCTGCACTGAAAGAGTAAAGGGAAGCAGATTGCTAGATATGTAACTTACCAAATTAGCAGACACAATAGAAGCATTGCATTCAAGGACAAAGAAAAACAAAAAAATAAGCAGAGGCTGGAAGAATAATCAGTCTAATGCACATGGCATGGTGGCTGTATGGTAAAGCATTTGACTTCTGAACTAAGGGGCCTTGGGTTTTAAATCTCAATCAAGACTGGGATTTTGAAATTTAGGATTTTAGGATGCCCCCTGAGTCCACCCTGACATTAGTTGGGGAAAGTAAAGGTGGTTGGCTGTTGGCCATAGAAACAGCTTTACATCATCTGCCCTATAGACAACAAAGTCTGAAAGAGGGGTACTACTAATACTATAAAAATTTAAAACACACAAGAAGGAAACTCAGTGTATAACAGAAAATTCCCATTTATAATGTCAACATAAACTTTGCCTTACATCTTAAAAAGAATCGAAACCAAAAGAGTTTCTATTGAATCTGAAGTTACCAGTGGATTATTTCTCTAAACAATCTTTTAATTTTGGCTCCAAGTTTTAGCTTTAAAAATCTGGTAAACCATGTACATGATAAAAGTTACTTAGCTCTTTTAAGCTTAAATAACTCTTTTTTTTTTGGCCTAGGTGTAGATGGCTCATGCAAATGATTTTTGAAATAAATGTATTATTCCACACTAACTGAGGTTGCCTAACTATTAAACACTATAGCCAAAATATTAAGTATGGGTACTGCAAAGGCAAGGTTAGATGAGAAAAAAATAGAATAGGACATTGTTACTAATGTGTTCTGTGTTATGATACATTCTTGGTGTTAATTATTTAACAGAAAAACTTATCTCAGGTAATGTCATATCCTTTATAAAGACATAAGAATTTACCAATATCTAGACCCAGCCAGTTTGCTACAACAGGCTATTAGATATAAATAAAATGGGCCATAAATGCCTTATACAAATCATTGGACTAAGGCATCAACATGTTATCATTGAATCTTGGCTTTTACTGAAGAGAAAAGATGTATCGTGGAGTGGCATAAACTAATTGGCTGCCAAACAATGGAAAATTGTATCTCCCCCCCCCCCCCCCCCCCCCCGTCTGAATTAAATTTTAGCTGATTCATAGAAATTAGAAAAATCAAA